TCAATGTCCAAGTACTATGATAAAAACGCACGACAGCAACCAGACATTCAGGTCGGTGACCAAGTCATGCTTGACGCAAAAAATATCCGTACAAAAGGAGGGGGTCCAAAAAACTAAGCCCGTAACTTTGCTGTCTATTCAAAGTTCTCGAGAAATGAGGAGACCGCACCTTTAAGTTAGAGATTTCAGAATGATGGTAAATCCACCCCGTATTCCACGTATCTCTACTCGAGGCCTACCAATTGTCAACTCGACCAGAACAGGAACAAGCCCCAAGGGGCCCAGAAGAGATCGAAGGCGATCTCGAGTGGGAAATAGAGAAAATCGTAAAAAGCGAAGTTCTCTCGTCCACCAGAAGAGTCCGTGGTTGCAATAAGCGGATCCACGAACTTTAGCACTTTGTGAAATGGAAAGGGGGTTCTGAAGACGAGAACACTTGGTAACCACTCGAACATTCACAGCATGCTCAAGAGTTGGTGGGGGAGTTCCATAGAGAAAACCCGGAAATGCCAGGACCAAGGTAGAATGGTGAAGACAGGTTTTCCTTCACGTGGCCAAGTAAAGGCGTGGAGGTTATTTGCCCTACTTGCACCGAGTTCTAGAAGGAATTTAATAAGGTACCATATTAGAAGATAGAAACAAAAGACTCAAGACGAGCTCCACGAGGAGGGAGCTAGTGTTACATATATGAATGCACAGACCTTCCTCGCACACAGGCCTCCTGGAAAACCCCGAAGATTTCATAGCCAACACCCCCCTCCGGCCCCGCCGTTGGCCCTGCGCGCAGTAATAGTGTCGCCAGAATTTGGTGTCCCGACAGTATAAACTAGTGTAGGCGAAGCATGCTTCATAACACCTTATACCTCGTCGCCGTCAATCCGACCGGAAGCTGTTCGCAGAGTATATAAGAGGGGACCTCAGGCTGTGTCTGAAAAGTGGAAGGGAGTTAATCGGACGGGTAACCGTGGAGCTACGAGCTAAGCAAGGTTGACCACCTTGGACATGAACAGAGAGTGTTGGGACGAAATCGCCAACAGTCCAATAAGTTATCGGGACATGCCCGTAAGGACGAGGCACAGGGCCCAGTCTGGTGCTCGTATAGTATAGAGCCAACCGGAGGCCTATCTGTGGATGAGGAACTTTTCCCCAACGTTGACTAGTCCGATCGTGGCGGAAAGTGCTCGAAGTCAATGCAGTCAAGTTGCGAAGACAACAAGGCATTTGATAAGACTCTCGACTGAGCTGATCACTCGAGTCAGAGTAAGGAGAGTGGTGAGTTGACTCGAGGTGAGACCACTCGCTCATACCTAAACCTCCAAGATGAAGAAATCATGCGTTTTCGCCGGAGAGGTTTCGAACGGCCTTGCGGAAACACAATAACGCATGGAGACCGTAGTCCATGCAAGACGCAAAGTTTGTCAGGGTCAAACGGAATCCCTGTACGATAGTAAGGGATAGGAATTAGGGATGGTACATTGTTTGGTGATAGATAGATGTAGCCCATGACCACCCAGATGTGGAATATAAATATCGAGGTGCCTTCTTAGCTTTCAGAATATCCTCCGTCTCCGCTACACCTTCAGCGATTGAAAACTCAACACCATGGTTACTATCGTGGCTTTCAACCTCTAGCACCACCACCTCCCCCCCCATCTCCCTCCATCTAGCCTCGGCTACAGGAGGTGGGCTCGCTTCCCCTCTCCCTTGGGGTCCTGATTTATTTCTTGATTCCCTCAGTTCCATCCATGGTTGAGGCCTCTCAACTTCGTGATGTTTCCCCTCTTCCTACCCCGCCTCGCTTAGGCGTTGGCACGGTCGACAATCCCCTTTTTCCACCTTCAACAGAGGGCCGTGACTACAGTTGCAGTAGGAGAGAACAGCTTACAGGCTATGGTCGATCTCTCCATTCTCTTGCCCCGGCAAGAGGCTGCCTAGTCAGACACGAATGCGGTTACCAATAGTTGTCGTTCACAGAATTGGGTCTACCCCTCCTCTACTCTTTGGAGCCTTTTTGGCTGGCAGGTGGTGGGATCCCTTCTACTACAGTGACAGTATCTCTTCCAGAACAAGGGACTACATGAGAGACGCTGTAAAACACCTGCTATGCTTTGCCCAGGTGGCTGTTGATGATCTTCCTTACTCCTCCTTCCTCCTCCCCCCACACGTGGTGGGGAGTCCTCTCCTCCTCCTGAGTTGGCCTCGCTTAGCCTTCTCACGGTCGGCAACCCCTCAACCACCATCTTCAGACGGCCAGGACTACAGTTGCAGTAGGGGAAAACAGCCAACAGGCTACGGTCGATCTCCCCATTCTCTTGTTCCCCTAAGAGGCTGCCTAGTCAGACACCAATGCGATACCGATAGACGATGTTTAAGGTCTTTGGGTCTACCCCTCCGCTCTCCGCTCCGTACGGTCAGATCAGCTGGTACCTTCCTGCTACACCCTTCCCTCCCCCTGGTTATCACTCACGGCCGGCTGGTCTCCTCCTTCCCTCCCTAGTATTGCACTGTCTCCTGTGAGTAGGTCTGGGGGGGGCCCCCTATCTTAGCGCGCTTCAGGCGTCGCTTCCCGCTCGGATGAGTGGACTCGCCCTTCGGGGCCCTACATGGCTTGCTACCAACCTTTCCTTTGTCTTTTTGGGATTTCTCAGCGGGTTTTCCTAGCCCTTCCTGCTTTCTTCTTAGTTAGGATTTCCTTGTTCGTCCATCTAGCCAGGCTTGGCTTTCTTTTCTTTGAGGAGAGATGTGCGGTTAGCTCCATACCAGAGGGGCTTGGGGGGTTGGCTTTGTCCTGTGGTGAGAGGAGGAATATGGGTTTTTTGTCATCATAGCTAGCTCTCCATACGTTTTTCGTACCCTAAACAAATAATCAATGAGTTAAACAAAAAAAAACAAAAACAACATCCTTAGATTTCTGAATCATCAGCGAACGGAGAAGAGATCTTGTCAATATATTCGTTATACTTTGATACATACTTTTGTTACCAGCTTTCTTGACCACTCTCCAAGAAACCTTATTGGCCCCGGTTACAATTCGTTTAAACTTAGGATTGACTGCCGACTAACATTAGCCTACTCTTTTCATACCCTATAGCCTTAAGAGGATTGTAATTTAAGTGATAACTCTTGTTTGATAGTTATGCAATAGAAATTTGAATTGCCTATACCAATTTATTTGCTATACCATTTGTCCCTTAATTTCTATCTCTTGCCAATTATAATATGTGTTAATCCTCTACTTGGTTTCTCATTTTTTATTACATGAACTTCAACTTCATTTGAGTTCATATGCAAGAGAGGGTAATACTTTTAGTCAGCGTTACACTTGGCCTCACCACTAAAATTGTCACATTTTTTGTGAGAAACTTGGTACCGAGTTTAGTCTTCTGAAACCATACTATGCTACTAGTTTACTAATTTATTGGTACAAGTAGGAGTAAAAGCAGGGGCTGAGGTTTCTCTATATCTGAGAAGCTATAGTGGGTCATATAGGTATTGAGTGCAGAAAAGCTTAAGTAAGGCATTGGTAGCAACCCAAGGCCAGGTAACTAACTGACCAGACAGGCATGGTCCTAACTCATGACTATAACAACATTACCTCTACAAACAACCCAATCAGAACTGATAATAGAGAGACTAGTTAAAAGCAAAAACAAAGAGATTGCATCACATAGTCCTTGTCTAGTTATAGTATTTCTATATTTTATTACTCCTATTCAAGGTTCTCTTCAAGTTCACCCAAAGTTACTTCTCCAGGATATGGTTGACTCTGGAGAGGTAATATATTACATTATGTTTGAAGACATTAGGATTAATTCCTAATATAACTTTACCAAGAACTTTTGCCTATAATACCTTACCAAGAGTACTGGTATTTTACTACCCAACTGAGAGTTTATTTACTCCTTTGCCAAGAGTTTTTCAATACATCTCTAAGAGTTTTTCAATACATTATTTAGAGTTTTTTTTTGCTATGATACCTGGCTGAGCGCATTATACTACAGCTTTTCACTATACTGCTAAGAGTTTTTTACTACTTTGACAAGAGTTTTATGCTACAGTTTTTTACTATATTGCTAATAGTTTTTCTACTACTTTACTAAGAATTTTTTTTTACCACCTTGCTAAGTTTTTTTACTACTTTGTTAAAGAGTTTTATGCTATAGTATTTCGCTACTTTACTGAAAGTTTTTCTGCTACTTTGTCAAGAGTGTTTTTAAAGTTTGTTTTTAGGTAGTTTATTTTCTAACGTTCTATTCTTCTTTTTTTTTTTTTCTATTTTTTTTGGACCTCTGTGGTAATGACTATGCTATTTTGCTTGCACAAACAAAATGGCTGTTTGCAATTAGAACCTTAACATAATTTATATGAATCAACTAAACAGAACTGTTATTTCCAAACTGCTTTTTTATTTTTTATTATTTTCAGATCATTTAACCAACCTTCACTAGTCTCATATAATTTATACTATTTTATATTTTTATTCTTATAACATTATGGAAAACTATTGAGATTAGGAATTATTATAATTATATTTTCCTTTAGTATACTTGCATGACTGATTTGAAGCTAGACACTAAGGTGTCAAGTTCTATACAAAATGTCTGGCTTCAATTCAGCTATGCAAGTAAGCTATTATGATAAATATTATATTTTTATAAATTATATTTTATCAACTAACCTCAATATTTATACCTTCCTATCTCTTCAATTAATTTTGCAGGTGTGGGCATCCTAGGTATTTTGGGTGTGGTTACCCGGCCTTGGGTTGCTACCAACACCTCGCTTAAGTTTTTCTGCACTCGATGTCTAGGAGTACTGTATCATACATGACCCGCCGTAGACAAGCCAAGGCTGCCAAGTGCCAGCCACACCTCAAAGCCACAGTACAGGTGATACGCCCGAGTCATCCATTAGGGCAGTGGTCAAGGCGCGGCTACCGGTATGATACGAGTGGTCGCGGACAACATCAACCACCGAACGAACCCCTTTCCCCCAAGTCTGCGAAAGCGGGCAGGATACAACCCACACTCCTCCTTGAAGAACGAGGAAACCAACCCTTTCGTTGCCGCCACACATTTCTGGCAGCGAAGCAGCACCGTTTCATATCTCTACCGTTACCAGTATATTCCCACCCGTACACCACCCTACAATACCTTTTGTCACAGCCTCCTGGTAGCCTAACATACCGGCGCTGTATACTGCACGGTATTTATCTTCTCCCTGGTCGTTCGCAGCCATATCCACCTCCAGAATCGGAGCCCCTTCACACCCTCTCACTCTTGTTCTCCCTTCCTTCCTTTTATTTTTTTGCCTACTCCCCCTGCATACGGTAAAATATCGGTATCACAACTTCTCCTCACTCTTTCCAACTTCATCCCACGAAATTTCCTTTGTTTCCAACCCCCGAAGCGCCACAATTTATCCTCGCCCCGTGTGGCTGACCCTCTGCCCCCTCTTCCCCTTCAAGTCTCCTTTGCAGAAACCTTTTCAGATCTCTCCTCCATCCGCCTCACACCTAAGGTCACTTTCTCAAGAGTGGCAGAAAGAGAGAGACAACATCCGGACACGCCACCCGCTCGTGTCCCCTTGGTCTCTCGTAAGATAGCACAAAGCAAATTATTCAACGCTCTTTCTATCCTTGCTAAGAAATAAAGGGGGGAGGGCATAACCAAAGGGAAAGGAAAAAAAAAAAGGCAGGAACGGAGATCTCCCTCTGTCGCTGCCTTGTCCTTGGAATCAACCTGCAGTCCGGTGCCTCTAACCACCCTACTTTGCAACCTACCTTCCCTTCCACAGCCGCTGCATCGCTTTGTCGGTGGAGCTTTCACGTCTCCCCTTCCTCACACCCTCCACCCCCGTCACTCGACGCGTCGACGGATCCACTCCCTCGCGCGTTCACCTATATCCCCTAGTCTGTCTAGTCTGTTTTCGCTTGCCGCTCATCCCCCACGATGATGAGTTCCATCGCAAACAACATGCCTATGGCAACACAGATTGGTTCCCTCCCGAGCTCTCTTTCTAAAGAGCAAGCACAAGTAGTGTATCAGGTTAGTTTGCCCATTCCCAATAAACCCATGCACTCATGCCCTAAGTTATTGACAAAAATGGAAAACAGAAATGGCGAGATCTAAAAGCTCAAGGCGCAAGCGAAGCGACTCATCCAGAATTTGCCCACCTCTCAAGCATTCTGAACGCGATCAGACAACAGCAAGCCTACAAAAGTCAGATGCAACAGCAGCAGCAGCCGTTAAATATGCGACAGATGCAGCAGCAGCAGCAGCTTCATCTGCAACAACAGCAACAGCAGAGAGCACAGCAAGTTCCTGTTTCGCACAATGGTGCTTCTCAGCTTAATGGTACGGTTGGTCCTCGCACTCCTATCCACCAATCTCTAACACTTTTGCTATAGGTCGTTCACCTGCTCATCCTCAACAACCTCACCCAAATAATATTGCTTCGTCTCCACAGCAGCGCCCTGCTGCTGACTGCCTGCCTTCGGCAAATGGGGTTGGAGTCTCTCAGCCATCGTCGGTACCCTCGGTGCTCCCAAAGAATGCGAGTAGCCCTAATTCAACTTTTACGCAAGACCAGCTTGGCATTCTCAGAAATCAGATTATGGCCTTCAAAATGATTTCGAAAAACCTTGCGGTCCCCCAATTGATTCAGAGCGCGATATTCTCTTCGTCTGTTCCCAAGCACGACATCATTAGTTCCGAGGTCGCCGCAGCCAACGCCGTGGTTGACCCAGCTGCTAAAGAGGCGGTTGAGGTCGAGAAGCCTGAAGAAGCCCCTAGAAAGAGGCGATCCGGATACGAAACGTTCACGTGTCCTTGGGCTAGTCTCCAACCAAAGATCAACTATCACGATCACGGGTCCCGGGCTAAGAGGTTAATGATTCCTAGTATTATGCCCTCGGGTATCGATGTTTCACGACTACAGGAGGAGCGTGAGCGTGTTATCTTCAATCGGATTAGCGCCCGCAAGGCTGAATTGGAAAACCTACCCAGCAATATCGGGGAAGTTGATACCAAAAAGACCTCCACTGTTCTCTCGGATTCTCTAAAGTTGAAGGCATTGATTGAGTATAAGGCACTATGTTTGTTGCCAAAGCAGCGCGCCCTCCGACAGGAGATGGTTAATTCGATGGTGCATGCTGAAAACCTAGCTGTTACGTCTAATCGTGCCATGTTTCGTAGGATGAAGAAGCAGTCGTTGAGAGAAGCTCGCATTACCGAGAAACTGGAGAAACAGCAGAGGGATCAACGTGAGCAACGTGAGCGACGCAAGCATCAAGAATACTTACAAGGTGTCATCGCGCACGGGCAAGAGATTAAAGGGGATGCTAGAGCTAGAGATGTAAAGGCGCAGAAGTTGGGACGCATGATGTTGCAACATCACCAGCACATGGAGAAGGAAGAGCAAAAGAGGATGGAGCGAACTGCCAAACAGCGTCTATTGGCACTGAAGGCTAACGACGAAGTTGCATACCTCAAACTGCTTGACCAGGCCAAGGATACCCGTATCACGCACCTCTTGCGGCAGACTGATTCCTTCTTGGAATCTCTCGCTGCTAGTGTCCGACAGCAGCAAAGAGATGCCGTTGAGACGTATGGTAAGCCAGAGGGCTATCAGGAACCCGAGAGCGAAGATGAGGAGGAAGATTCCACCGGCGAGAAGATCGATTACTATGCTGTTGCGCACCGTATCAAAGAAACCGTCAGTGAGCAACCGACTATATTGAGCGGAGGAAAACTCAAGGATTATCAATTGAAGGGTCTTCAGTGGATGATTTCACTGTACAACAATAATTTGAATGGTATCCTGGCAGACGAGATGGGTTTGGGTAAAACTATCCAGACAATTTCATTGATTACCTACTTGATTGAACGGAAGAAGCAAAATGGGCCTTTTCTGGTCATTGTTCCACTCAGGTAGGTTTTATTGAATCCATACCACTTTATTTCTTGGGATGCTAATGTTCATGGAAGCACCCTGACTAATTGGAATCTTGAATTTGAAAAATGGGCTCCGGGTGTCGGGAAGATTGTCTACAAAGGCCCTCCGGCGGTTCGGAAAAACCAGCAGTATGACATCAAATTTTCTAATTGGCAGGTCCTCCTGACAACCTATGAATACATCATTAAGGATCGACCGCTTCTCAGCAAGGTGAAGTGGAACTACATGATCATCGATGAAGGTCACCGAATGAAGAACAGTCAGTCGAAGCTCAGCGCTACATTGACAACATACTACAACTGTAGATATCGTTTGATCCTAACCGGTACCCCACTCCAAAACAATCTGCCAGAATTGTGGGCTCTTTTGAACTTTGTTCTGCCAACAATCTTCAAGTCGGTAAAGAGTTTTGACGAATGGTTCAATACTCCGTTTGCAAATACTGGTGGTCAAGACAAAATGGAACTCACTGAAGAAGAGGCTCTGTTGGTTATTCGTCGCCTCCACAAAGTTCTTCGGCCCTTCTTGTTGCGCCGTCTCAAAAAGGATGTGGAGTCGGAGCTACCGGATAAGGTCGAGAAGGTCATCAAGTGCAAGTTTTCTGCGCTTCAGCAAAAGCTATACCAGCAGATGATGAACAACGGCATCCTCTACGTGAATGAACCCGATAAAGGCGGAAAACTAGGCGTTAGGGGGCTCAGTAATATGATCATGCAGCTCCGTAAGCTCTGTAACCATCCGTTCGTCTTCGAGGAGGTCGAAAACGCAATCAATCCTACTAAAGTCAACAACGATGCTCTATGGCGTACGGCTGGAAAGTTTGAACTACTTGACCGTCTACTCCCCAAATTCTTCGTTACCAAACATAGGGTTTTGATGTTCTTTCAAATGACCCAAATCATGAACATCATGGAGGACTTTCTTCATCTCCGAGGATTCCGGTATCTACGACTCGATGGTTCTACCAAGGCCGACGACCGTTCCTCTCTTTTGAAAGAATTCAACGCACCCGGTTCGCCTTACTTCATCTTCTTGCTCTCGACCCGTGCTGGTGGTTTAGGTTTGAACTTGCAAACGGCCGATACGGTCATTATTTACGATTCCGATTGGAATCCCCACCAAGATCTACAGGCGCAGGACCGTGCCCACCGTATCGGACAGAAGAACGAGGTCCGAATTCTTCGATTAATTACGTCAAACTCGGTCGAGGAACGAATTCTTGAGCGCGCTCAGTACAAGTTAGACATCGATGGAAAGGTTATCCAGGCTGGTAAGTTTGATAATAAGTCTACTAATGAGGAACGAGACGCATTATTGCGTGTGATGCTGGAGGCCGACGACAAGGATGTTGGGGATAGTGAGGAACTCGACGATGACGAGCTCAATGAAATTATTTCTCGCAACGACAATGAATTAACCCTCTTCAAGCAAATGGACGTTGATCGCGAGAAGAACTCCATATATGGCAAAGGCAAACATCTAGATAGGCTATATACTGAGGCCGAGTTACCAGAAATCTATCTCCACGATGACCTCATCCCCATCGAGGAGCCGACAGGTCCTGTTGGTAGGGGCGCTCGTGAGAGAAAGATTACCAATTATGATGACGGCTTAACAGAAGAACAATGGTTAGATGCAATCGATAATGATGATGACACGATTGAGGATGCTGTTCGGCGCAAGCGCGACAGAATTGAGCGGAGGCAGATAAACAAGGCAAGAAGGGCAGGTGAGCTGTCTGAAAGCTCTCCGCCACCAGATAGTCCTGGCGTTGGGGATACGCCTCCTGCAGTGCAGCCTAAACGAAAACGTGGTCGCAAACCGGCTGCTGAAAAGCGCCGTATTGAAGAGGTTGAAGAACCAAAGGTAGGTTGTTCATGTCGCCTTATGGCATTCTAGTACTAACCGCTCCAGACACATCCCCGGAAACGGCAACGCACGGCCAAGGGCTACGCCCCGCCAGATATCGTCTCCCCTGGAAACCGCGCGATGTTGCAGAGATCATGCGAAGCAATCTTCCACGCAGTCCACATCCTTGAAGACTCAGAAACTGAACGTGTCCGTTCTGAGATCTTTGAAAAACTCCCAAGCAAAAAGCTATTTCCTGACTATTACCACATAATCAAGCAGCCTATATCCTTCAATGAAATTAAGAAGCGTATCAGAAACGGCGACTACTTAGACCTCGAGGGCTTCCATGCTGACTTTAAACTCATGTTCAATAATGCTCGCACGTATAACGAGGAAGGCTCCAAAGTCTATGAAGATGCGAACGCCATGGACGTGAGTACCCTTGCCCCCTTTTTTCCCTTTTTGTTACATGCTCACCCTAATATTTATTACCATATAGGCCGAATTCGACCGGCGCTATGCCGAAGAAAAGAAAACCCTTGATACTCTCACAAACCCCGAGCACTCCTCCGCCGCTGGAGACGGGACATCCACTGGTCCTATCTCAAGCGCTGGGACCCCCGCCGCTGTCGCCAATACAACGGGCAATGGCACACCTCGCATTCGAATAAAATCCCGTGCACCAGCCGCAGCCGCTGCCACAAGCGCAGCGAGCAGAGCTTCTCCACCAGATGAAGGTGACAGCGATGAATCGGAATAGAAACTCGTAACCCAGGCTAAAAAATCTGGTTTGTGGTAGTGGGACCTTCTGGGATGGGATAACATGTGGGGGATTTCTAGCCAAGAGCTGTCTTTCTACTTCCCGTTTTCTAGTCTTGTTACGTGCTTCCTTTTTTCTTTACCCCTTAGTAAGTTTTTCCCTAGTACGATGGTGGAAGTTGCTGGTTGGATGGCTGGTCGCTTCGCTTCGCTATTGTCCTTCTTTCACTACTGTTCTTTGCCGCATTTTCCACGGTTTTTGATAGCTGAATCTGAGTGGGGTTTGTACGATATATTTCTCGTTTTAAATCATTGGATGGGTTGTGGCGGAGGTAAGATGAGATTCGACTAGGCTGGATAGGACGGGTAAGAGGTGGAAGACCGGTTACACAGTCTTGTCGAATTCTTGTTGCTTGGGTCTCAAAAAATACATTTTTTTACCGTTACCCCAAGGCTTGGCTTACCTGTGGTCCCGTGCGGTGGGGCGTCTTGACGAGATGTGCGAGACATGTGCAAGACGGCATCTAGCACGAACAGACACGGTAAATCACCTGTATGATGACAAGTCTGGTGCGCGTGAATCAAAAGTATGTCATATCGAAGGACGATCGTCCTCCTTATTGCTGATACCCGTATAATTCTACACAAGTTATCCTTCATACAGCGAACATTAGAAGTCCTAGATTCCAACCAGCGTCCCGGTCGGGGATCACCCCCCTCACGCCGCCCACCCGCAACGGAAGCGTGTCCACGCGCTTAACTGATCAGCATCGCAGAATGACTCAAGTCGGGAAGGGCATAATCTCCAGCATTGACAGGTTTGCCCTACCAGCGTGGTCTCGAATTCACGTGAGGAGAAACCCGCGGACTACTATAATAGAATTCAAAGAGTTTGATTCAACCCATTCTTGCGGGCAGGGGAAGGGATGGAGGGGAAATTGTACCAGTAAATTGAGCGATATTTGTTGCATAGAGCAAAGCATACCTTTTGAGTGCAAAGCACCTAGGTCACGTGGCTAGCCTTGCTCACGACCTGAAGGGTTCAGAGTACCTTTTTCTATGGACTCACATAAAATAAGTTACTTTTAGACTTGGTAATACTTCTATAAGCCACTGATCCAATTACACTGCTTTCCAACTATACTCCTAGGAGGAGGTCTACGTAATTTCCTACCTAATATTAAAATTTAATTGTTTTTAAGAAGGCAGTAAAGAAGGTAGTAGATGTTGTAGCTTTGAAAATGTAGATTTTTTTTTTCATATTTAGTATGAAAACTCATCACATACAGAATGATTTGTCCTAGTACTTTGCAATCATTTCAGAGAAACTTGATAGTTGGAAAATATTGGATTTCAAGAATTTTAAATTGGTATCTAGAAATATTAGCAAATGTTGGACGTAGGATAGTGCACTAGTATAATATAGAGAGTAAGCTAAAGATAATATTATTACTAATAGGTCAAGTAGGATGAGAAGCATGTATTAATTATACTTTGTTAAAAGAATATTTATACTAATATATAGGGAGAACTACCCCTGAAAACAAGCAGAAAAATAAATAAAAAAATAAAAAAAAAAACCAGAAACTGAATTCAAGAGTCAGAGTAATTAAAAATAAATTTGAAACTAAACAACAGACATTTTGGAAAAAGGTGGCAAAGTAAATCATTGAATAATGCAAATAGTATTATTGAATTTAAATTATATAGTACTTTCAACTGAGTAAAATAGTTGAATAAATACTTCTATTGAGTATTGATAATTTTGACAATTGATAGTTAACATCCAGAATGCTAGGATTTACTTGTTCAGGCATTAGTACATATTTGTTCTTTACTTACACCAATATTCCACTTATACAGACATCAGAAGAGTATGAATTTTATCTCTTACTAGCAAGTTGAATTTTAGTATCCTTTCTATTATTATATAGTCAATGCTTTTTTCCTGGCAACTAAAAGAAGGAGAATTATGGACTTCATACTTGATAGCTGAAATACTATACTTACCTGATATCTTAGTAAAAATGATAAATTACAATAATAAATATTAGTATTAATATTATTTTCTATCACTTGTAAATTTGAATAACTTTTAAAAGCATTCAGCATTCTAAAATTTGTTTCATCTAAAATCTGAATTTTAAAAGAAAAGTTAGTAATCTTGAGACTTGAATCATCTCATTTTATTTTATAAATACTAACTTCACTAACTCAGAAAAAAAACAAGTAATAAGATACACATTTCAGAAGACATCAGAAGCTATAATAGAAAACTTACAGCCTGAGGACATCATACAATGATGCAGTAGATATAAGAAAATAGTCAAATTGAGGAACTTTTCTCTCAAGCATAATAGATCTCGATATAAGACCTGTCTGGCATGCAGAAATTGAGATACCAATAATCGGCAGCAAAACTGTAATATGAATAATAGACCATTAGCAGCAAAAGGACAGTCAGAAGATAGAAATAGGATGAGAGTCAGAAAGAGAAAAGGAAGTAATTATAAAGAGTATTTGGATTTAGAATTACAAGAGGAGATAAATAAAGAGGTAAGTAAAAAAATTTTGAAAAAATATGTGAAAATAGGTATAAATATAGTTAAAGTAAACTAAGGATAAACTAGGTAACAGTGGAAAACTAAGAAATAATAGTGCTGGGATCAGAAGGAAATAGGCAGAGAGAAAAAAGATCTCTATAAAGTTTAATACTAAGAACTCAGTGTAGCAGACAAGCAAGAATACAACAGGAGCCAACCTTTATGCAGCACCAATGTAGTCGCTACTTACAGATAAAAGATCTAGCAGAGTTCACTGCAAGATCACAAGTATGGCAGAGGTATAATACCTGTTGTATACAAGAATGGTTAAGAGTTGTACAGGTACATACTCTTATAATACTTAAGGCTCAGGAGTGGCAAACTGGAGTACCTTTACCACCCAGATATAAACTTTCTGCAATAATCTATGGGTGTAGACATTGTAAAGCATTACACTTCCTAGAAGAATAGCTGTCCAAGTATTTCAGTCCATTGTTAGAGTTTGAAAGTTGTTGTGCAGGTGGAAAGGTGCAGCTACATATATCTGATAATCTACCAGAAGTTATATAGAAGCTATTTACTAAGAATGATCAGCAAAGTATCCAATTTCAGAATAATATCTGTGCATATAATGATGCTTTATCTTTAATATTACTTGGAACAACAGAAGTACTATACAGAGTCAATGATGGTAGTGTTTACTCCTTTAGAATCAAGGGGACACTATATCACAACCAGAGTCTATTAGTTCCTACAAATAGTAAAAGATCAAAGTTTGCACATATTTATGTACATAATTCTGTAACAGATAGGGTCTGAGGGTCGGGTAGCCCAAGGCATACCACGAATCGGGATAGGCAGGATTCTGAGGACGAGGTCTAGGTATAGGGGTAGAACTGAAGCAAGTTGTATCAGGTTCGGGATTCAGGGGTTCAGGGTCAGGGTTCAGGGGTTCAAGAGGACGCCAGATAATAAAGGGTGTAATTCCTAGGTACAGGTGTCCAAATGATATCTAATTTTATTTATACTCGTTGCGCCAAACTATGGCTTACGGTTGAGCGATCATCCTATCATACACCTACCATAAGGGCAGGAGGGCCTGCGATGGATGACAAGCAGACCGTAACTGTCCTCGAAAGCAACAGCCTGGGGCCGGGGTCCCCACAATACACCGGCGCGCTCCCCCAAATAACAACTACCATACGAAGTGCAAAAGCCTCCAAGTGCCAACCGTCAAAACTCCCGCGAAAGAGCAAACACAAAAGCTAAGTACAAGACCCATCATTGACCTCCACCTCCCTCGCCCCAACTGACAAATCGACCACCAACCCAACGGGAACAGGGCGACCGAAGTCCTTGGTCCTACCAAGCGAGCAAAAGGTAGTTACGGCCCCCGACCAAGACAAAAATAAAAAAGTAAATCAAAAATATCAAATCCGGTCTCAATACTGTCCTGCTAAATCCATATCCTCCTCCACAGTAGAAACCCTCACATGATCACCCCCTACCAACCCCTCCAAAGAATACCCCTCCCCTGCCAACTCCTCGGGGGTAAACTCCGGGAGAATGGCGAACAACCTATCCGACATAGTCTTCGAGGGATCACTCCACGCCGAGCCACACCCCCTCCCCAAACGCCGTTTGCGCTGCCAACCACTGGAAGAACTAGCTTCCCTGCCCGCAACATGCCCAACCCCACCCTGCGCTCCCACTTCCGCCACCAGTGCCCACTTCCTAGCCTGCTGCCCCAGCAGCCTCAACCCAAGAAAGTTAGACATGCTAACTTCTACACTTGGAGGCGAACTCACAGCAGGACGCCCTACAGGCACCGCCGAACGGAACCGAGTCTTGTACCACCCAACCACATATGGGTTCTCTCCCTTAGGCCAATGCCCACATGGAAAGTACCCAGGAGGGAGGTCCGGACCCAAAGCAAGATCCACCAACACTGTAACCACAGAGCCGTCCGATGTGACTGATCCATCAATTACCGACCCATAATCGTCAGGGGACAAAGGCAGATCCGGTCTGGCCGGGGGTGGGGAAGAACCAATGAACATATCTGGGAACCAAGGCACACGGGACGACCTCCGGACGCCACACTGGTAGGCCAGCCACCACCACAGGCTCAGCCACGAATAGCTCAGGCACCTGCATCCACCCAGGGAAGGATGCCACCATGAACA